AACATTTTAAACTAAAGGCAGGCTAGAAATGTTTTCCTCCAGAGTAATATTGATCATTGTAGTAATATGTGGTTGCATGTACACTGTAACTTGGTAATGTGGTAATGTTAACATGATTTATGCATGTCGACAGTAGTAAGTTTTGTTGGTGTTTTATGACCCATGCAGCCACGAGGTGCGCCTGTTAGTAGAGTGAACAAAAGACTTGCACAATGATTTATCCTTTTCAAATTTTCATTACAATTTGTTTGTATAATGCTGAATATTATCAAGGTTATACAACCTTCTTTATTCCATGCCTGTCCCTACTATTCATAGCTGTCATATTTTGATACAGGTTCCTGTAATGAGTCAGTGTGAACAGAGTGTTTTATGGAAACAAGAAAATAAAACTTAAAATACCTTAAAGGTAATACAAAGTTTTGGTATGGGGTCATGAATTTGGTTCAAATGAACATATTGGAAGCATATAAGATCCTACAATATTCAGTGATCGTTGTCGCGGTCGAAATCGACTCTGAAGTTATGAAATTGTAAATAATGATCACTTTATGTTGAATAGCTCCCTCTCAAGGTCAAGATATTAATTAAGCAATAAAACAATGTTTATTGACTAAAATCGACCGATGAGCTATTCTCGTTCGGAAATAATATACGTTACCACAACTACATACTCTGAAATTTTCATGGTCGCAGCCACCACGGGAGCTATTTGAAATTCATCATAATTTACCGGGAGCACCGGTAAATCTTTATATTCAATTTTTCTCGAAAGCAGAAGTGTTTTAGGGGCTACAACTTCTGGTGTTTTTAATTCATCCACAGTGGCATCCAAATATATTAAAATTGTCAAGAATCACTATCCACCCATTTTTCAAAATTTCCCCAAAACTTTGTAATACCTTTAACAGAGATGCCAACTGTTCTGTTTTTGCCGTATTTGTTCCGTTTTTTTCGCTATGAATACGGCAGTACGTTTTTTGTATGTTTTGTTACGTTTTTTTAATTTTTTTTTTTTTTTTTTTAGTGATGTTTTTCTTAATTTCTGATCATAAGCTTTGTGTCGTAAGTGTATTATGCACCTACATCTTAAAACTATGCACGCAGGATGGTGATACGGGCCCCAAACTGCACACATTGCGAACAACCCACGTGTAATGTATGCACGTCGCGCTCCGATCCGGGTACGTATACGTGGTACTGCCTGGTTTTTTAAGCTGCTCGATTGGGCGATATGTTAAGTTGAGAGATTTTTTCAAAAATACTGTTTTTTGCTCTTAAGAATACTTTTTTTGTTGAAGAAGGTAGGCATCTCTGCTTTAATACTGCTTCCTGCGAATCGTCAGGTCATCACGTCAAGTCGGGTGGTTGCGTTACACGACCTTTTGTGACACGAAAGATCACAAGACCTTTCGCACATTAGCCGTAAGGTTTTCATGAAGTGTCAGGGTACATAGGTATATGTACTTGTATGTTTACTTTCTCTGTGCTGCGGTACACACTGAATGTAAGAATTTTCTTTACTTGATGTCATATAGGTCCATTCTCAGAGTTCTTTTGTACCTTTGAGACCAAGCAACATCAATCATATTGATGATAGCATCACTAAGTGACAGGCTGTTTTGATTGTAGGTGATGTTGCTATTGTCATATCCAAACAGATGGCATTCAGTACAAAAGCAAAGTGTTCCTATATAGTTGGCATTTCTGTGGGTGAGAAAGTCAAGTTATCATTGAAGGTTGGGTGACCATACAAGGACATGCACACAATAGGATGGTATATCGGTGGGTCAGAGTTTGTGTGAAAGTTAGCTTCAACTGTATTCTGCACTGGGTCATAATTGTGCTATATATTTGCTCACCCCACTCCTGAGTCAAAACTTAACAGCAGGAGAAAATGTTCTGTAAGATAGTGAAGGTAGAACCATGTGATAAGCATATTCTGCTGTTAAATGCACATATCATCTTGATGCAGCTTAATGTTAGTTTAACTTTCACTCAGATATATGTCAAAAAGGAACTTTTTATTTACAAACATCTATTACACTATTATGCATTTTACATTCTGGATGCATCTTTTTCGTACCACTACATTTCTCTAGCTGTACTGTGCAACCAAATTTACAAATATGCATTTTATAAGGACTCTGACTTATCATTTTCCCCATAGGTGTAATACTGGAGCAACCCGGTTCAAGTTGACAGTCGGTTTATCATGAGACAGGTTCATCTTGATACAAAAAATAATACATGGAATAAAACTCCAAAATGAATAAAACTATTTTGTCAATTTTATGGAAAAAGGCTTGTCGTTCTTGAGAAATTTGAATTGAAAAAAGAAATGAATTAAACATGCTACTATACAGGTATATCCAAATTGAGAACAAATACATGTATCATGTTTTATACAAGTAGTTGTATTTTTTTCTCAAAATATGTTAGAAATGTCACTGCTCAATATAATCCGAATGAAAATTGTGTTTTTCAATTTAACAAAATGAGATACATGTACAATCGAAGGGAAATTGGAGGGATTTTAAAGTATTCACAGGCTTATATACAGAAAGGGATCATTTAACAAATATTGTAAAACTCCATATTCTACTATACCAAATGTGTATAGTAAATGTGGCTGTGATGGAAACCTAGAATAAAAAAGTGATTTCAATGTGGATGTTTTAGATTAATAGAAATAAATAGATATTCCCTCATGTAAAGTGAAACTATGAGAATATTTCAATGGCTTTCATTTTGTTGGAAAGAGAAAGGTTTTTTTGCTGTCTAAATAATGTAAATATCCCTTGTATTGCTGACATTTCTTAAAGCAACAAACCACAATTCTCAGAGCATACTCACAATTTGTTATTGCTGCTGGCAAAAAGTTAGGTGTGTATTATGCCTTAGAATAACACCATCTTCCAACAAAATGAGTGATAGAAGGAAAAAGGACCAAAAGTGAAAATTTAAGATGTCTTGTAGTAAGATTATTTTGAACAGACATTCAAAGTCCTTTTTCTTAATAGAATCACATTCTTTTACCCATATAGACTGTACCCCTTTTAGAAGTGTTGTGTTAAAACTCTATTGATGCATGTATACATTGATACTTCTTATTTTGTATACAACTTATTTAACTGTTTGTAAAGGCTTCCTATTCCTGATCCTCCCCTTTTCACCAGAGGTCTATTGTAATGGTCTCTAATGAGGTCTTCTATAAAAGAAATTGTTGTATGCAGGGATTCTTACCGACCCAGTGGGCTTTGTCAAAGAGTTGCTTATTTCTTACTGAAGGCTATATAGTTCTATTCCTAGAATGTTTTATGAATTCTTTTTTTTTAGTCCCTAAGCTTAGACAACTATCAATGCATGGTTGGGTAATATATCATTATTATACTAATTTTCTCATTTCATCTATCAAAGTAACTCTATCCCTGTGGTGTATTTAAACTGAATGAAACCTTCTCTATTTGCCTGTGCAAGAAATCTGTGTACTGCATTCACCTCAAATGGAATCTTTTTTAAATGTAAATGAAAGACCGAGAGAGTTCTGCTCAATTCTGCAATGTTTAACACAATTTTGCAATCGTTTTGAAAATCAAAACTATTCAGCTATATAGATGTGATGTCACTAGTTTGAATTTAAATGGATTGATACTGAGGAAGGAATAGATAAACTACATGTAAAACTGGAAAGACAAAAAGTAAAGAGGAATGGGATTAGTCTACCTTTTCCAGACATAATGCAACTTCATTTTTTATATGAGCAGGTAAAATTGACTGGATGGACCTTGAGCTTCAGTGCTATTTAATTGAGCATTAAAATAAATCAAAATTATGTACTTGACACCTTCTGTGAAAGAATTTTGTCAGATTTATTTCCATTTTTTTGTTCCTATTCACCTCTATTTTACAATGTTGATATCATGAGAGTGAATTATAAGCATAAAGTCTATTTCATTCCCCATGTAAGCCTGCTGGGACATCGTTAGATGGGAATAAGACAGGTCTCTGACTGGATATCAAAGGTGTTTAGAATGGGGTTGAATAGTTAAAAGAGGAACACTGACTCACACCTTGTCCATCTGTGTAAAGCAATCTGCTGACATTAAGACAATTTATCGATCTCTCCCAGTTCTTCCTCTCCATGAAGAACAGTCCCTGGGATCGAGAGATGTGTGAAAGATAGAAGAGTTACTCAGATCTGCAGCTCAGATGTGTTTAATTTGAGGTTTGTTGTTTCCAAGATAGAGAATGAAATCGTAGAAAGGGAGGATTCACGTTTCTCTGCCAATCCTTTCCTCGCCATGCATGGGTGTAGTGAAAATATTGATGCGTGTGGGAGCTCTATAACGGAGATCCCCGTTGGCATAGAAATCAGAATGCCAGGCATAGTATCCAGTTTCTAGGGCAAATGAAAATTTATTGATTTTTATCTGGAGATACGAAGTATTGACTTAACAAGCTCTTACAAAGTTAGCTACCTCACGTTGCTGTTTGTGTGGTATGTGCATACATTGCAATCTTCCTGCTTTTAGAAGCGTGGAGATACAGATTAGTTGTGAGGTGAAATATATTGCTTTTTTATTGAAAATATGAGGGCAGAGTTTTTCATCAAAGTCCCAGACAAAATAGTAATTGATTTTGTCAATTGATACCTGAATTTATTTTCAACCATGTATCCATCTTGATTAGATGCAACATTCTTATGTTGTATTTTTTCTTTTTAAAAATGTATCATTTATTAAAAATATATATACATCGATAGTAATATTTTGCTTTGGGTTGGATTAAGAGGGTCCTCTTGATTTATGTAACAATTATGTAATGTTTGAAAACTATATGCTATAGTTTGACCTCGTGGAGCCTCTGAAATAATAGTATTTCCAAAGGGCCAAAACTGTATTACACTTAATGGTAGTTTCCTCAATAATCTCTTTATATACATGCAATTAAGAAATAATGCATTATTCTATATCTTCTCTTTTTTTTGTATTACCTAGCTCTTGGAGAAATCCGTTCCCCGTTTGGCGTGACAGTATACCCCGGAGATACAGCTAGATTTGAATGTGAGGTGAATGGTACTGTACCAAAAACAACAACGTAAGTATGAAATTCCACCTTCATAAAGGCAGATTTCATCATAATGAGTAATCATTTATTTTGTGATCTTATGTTTTTAAGGTGTCTTATTTATCTTAATATACTTGTTTGCAGTATCATTTCTTTGCTGGGTGTAATGATTTCAAGATTTGTCCATTTCCTTTCAATTCTTGTCAGCATCCTAAGGCTTTACTAGTTTAATTTTTTTTTTCTTCTTAATAAATCAAATTAAAAAAAAACAAGAGTGTAACCTCCTATGTAGCATCTTAATAAGAACAAATAATTACTCATCTGCAAAGTTTAGATTCGTCAGTGTTTTAAACCTCCATATATCTCCTGTGAGCGGTTATTATTTTAAAAAATATGAGACTCTGCTCCACTCTTTCTTTCTTGTTCATATGAGGAATTATATCTTGTACTCCAGAGAAAATATGACCGCAAACTTCAGTTATAATTTGACCGTATGGTTTGACACTTGCATTATGCCTTTATCATAGCCACAAAAAACATCAACAACAAACGAACAAATCAATGTGTTTTTACGTATATACATTCAAAGAGAATAATTGAGAATAGATTTTAGAGCCAAGCAGCCAAGCCTAGACTCTTTGATTTCTCCTTTCAGGTGGCTGAAGGATCGACAGACGATCGACCTGACTGAAGAACGTTATGCATCTCGCTACACTCTGCTTCCCAGCGGAGCACTTGAGATTCGGGACGTGAGGGAGGGTGATGCAGGCCGCTATAGGTGTAAAGTAGAGAGCCTTCTATTACCAGATCAGAGAAGGCGCAGCACCGATGCAGAGCTGGTCGTCAGGAGCGGTATGACTTGAGCTGCTGTTTTGCAATCATAGACTTATTGGTCAAGTTTAGCTCAACGATAATCTTTTTTTAAAGAGAACAAGACATTTGGTATTTTAATGGAATGAAGAAAGGATTTTCATAAAATAAAATAGTAATTGTAAGAGGATGATTGTCTTTTTCTGAACTAAAGTTTGATACTTAAAATATTTCTAATTGTCCTGAATATTTTTGGTATTGCTGTGTTCGTTTACTTCAATTTTTCATTGTAGCCATAAGGTAGCACAAAAAAAAATATCAGTAAAACCTCTTCCTCAGATCATATGCTCCATTCATATTTTGGGAAGCGTGGGATGTGTGTTTATTTTTAAATCATTTAAAAAACTCACAAATATGTCATTCACGTTAGCGTCTGTTTTTCCAACCGCTTGTACCGCATCCTTCAAACTACAAAGAAAGAGAAATAAATGAGTACAATGTGATAGTGATATGACTTTTGAAGCATTTTTAGCCCAATTATTCAGCACTATATTTATCCTACTATTATGCTCTGTGTCTTATTTTTCGCCCACACTCGGCGTCTGTTTTGATTACAACACTCCTCTTTTTTTGCTCTCTTAGACCCAGCCCCAGCCCAGCGTCCAGAGGATTTGGCCTTCCTAGTAGCTCCAGGACCAAGCCAAATAGAGGCCCTGATAGGTAGTACTATCACTCTTGAAGCAGCTACTACAGAACCAGCAACACTGGAGTGGTATAAAGGAGAGAAAAAGATCAACATGTTAGTATTCAACTACCTAAATTCCTTTTCCCCAATACACAGATTTACAAACCAATGAGTACATGGCAAATTGTTGTATTCCAACTTTATACACAGAAAGAAAAAGGGGGAAGGGGTACTCCAGAAAGGATGCCGTCCATCCTCAAGTTGCTATTAGAGATGAGCGTCAAATGTTTTTGATGTTTGCCAACGTCCATTCCACAAACATTTGTCCGTCATTTTCGCGCATAGCGTGCCACCCCTCCGCCCCAAATGAAAAAGACAAACATTTCCATTTCTCAGTTGAAGCTCCTCTTCAAATACACCTTTCAAATTTTGGCAAAGGTGAATTGATTTTCTTGTCTCCTGTTGATGGAAGGGGAGACAAATGATGGGAGTTTGGGAGAAGACGGAGAAAGGGTGTGTTAGTTCTCACTGTATATGTGTGTGTGAAGCTTGTTTGCTTATAGATGCCACTGTTGTCACTGTACGTGATGAGATATGAATGTAAATGTCAAGAATTTTGATGAGGCTGCTATCCAGGTATATAAACCTGATATGAAAACAATGGGGGAATAACCAAATAAAAAAGAGGATAAAGGTGGTGTAAAATATATTCATAGATTAAAAGCTCTTTACCTCTCTTTTTCTCTGACTCTCAATCTATTTATCTTTCTGTGTGTATTCTTCCCCTTTCTCTCCAGCTCTGACCTGCACCCTATATATACACTTCCCCCCGTCTCCCCCTCCCTGTCTCATCCCCTCCCCTCTCTCTCTCTCTCTCTCTCTCTCTCTCTCTCTCTCTCTCTCTCTCATTTTCCTCCACTCTCTCTCTGTTTCTCTCTCTCTCTCTCTTTCTTCTTTCTCTTTCTTCTACTTTAGCTCAGTTTTATGACTTTCTGTTCCTTTCTATCAATCCCACATGTCTGAAATTTCTTTTTTTTCTCCAAATTTTCTTCGTCCCCTTCACTGAGTTTAATCAGTTCTGGATTACTGTATGCTTCTGAGTTGGCACCATGCTTTCTATGGATATGTAATTGATAGAGGTGATATACTCATTCCAAATTAATCAGGCCTGCTGGTGCATAGCCATCTTATTTCCTAGTAATGATGCTACGGTGTGAATGTTCCGTTTAAGCTTTCCTTCACTGTTTTATTATCACATGACATGTACATTGAATGGGTTTTAATATTAGTTTGCATCTGTCCTGGTCTTTTATGGGTTAATCCTTATTGTTATGCTCTAGTTTGCATAGAATGACTCCTTTGGGAGGAGTGGGATATAGGTAATAGAGGTACCCATGAAATCAGATTGAAATGATGAAATTCATCCAACATTTGGTATTCATGATTGAGAAAGAACATTTTCAAGGAAGTAATGATGAAGACAACTATAATAATTTGTCATCGGTTGGTTTTAGTGGTAAAATAAGAATGAAAATCTTTATGATTAGCTCAAAATAAAACATAGACTTTGGTGATAGTATTAAATATTACAGTGGAAAAATGTTTCCTACAGAAGGTAATATTTCAGTACAGATAATTGAATTTTACCGAAATCCATTTAAAATGCTTGAAAAATTCATCTATTCATCCAAATAATCCCCTAGCTTGCTTAGAGAGTAATCAACAATGCAACATACATTTTCGGTTCCCTTTCAGGCAAGGTGACCATTACAGACGACTGGGTCAAGGGAGCTTGCAGATAACAGACCTAGGAGAGATCGACACTGGTATCTATCGGGTGGTTGCCATATCCATACTGGATCAGAGCCGAGTAGAGAGGGGTGTTACTGTTGTCGTACAAGGCGAGTTCATTAACAAAGCATTTAATTATTCCTTTCTTCATTTATCATTCATTTGGCAACATACATCATGCTAAGGTAGATTCGAGAAATATAGTAGTATGAAAAGACTTGTCCGGAATACAGTAGGCCAAGATTCAGTTAACAATATTTTTTAATGTGAAGTTCTTTCTTGATATATCTGAATATAAGTTTAGTTAACCTTAAGCTTAATCAAGATAGTATTTACCAGCTTCATATCTTAACAATGCGGTTCTATCTCTGTATGATATAATTTTGATTTCAATAATTTTGCTCTTTTTTTTCTTCGTTCTGAATGTGTCTTTTTGTGCCACTACATTTCGCCAAGCTACCTAAAACCATAATAGAAGATGATTGATTCAGAATATTCATCTGTTAAATCAATAGTCGATCATACTCATATGTAATTGCTCTTCATCAAACTATTGATTAAAAATATTATTAGCATCGAAGCTAGTAAATAATTAATAAAAGAAAGCCTTTTTATTGATGTTTTTGCAAGCTCTTTGTTAATGTGTTCTTATTCTTGTTTTCTACATTTTTATAACTACCTTCATTATTTATCGTCCATTTGAACATTAATCACAACAAAAATTGAATATCTTAAGTAGCAGTTCTCACAGATATATGTTTAAATGTTAAATTGAATTTTTTGTCAAGGTCAAGGTTTGTCATTCAAAATTAGAAAATAAGTATAACATCTTTGTAATAGGCTAATATGAATGGGATCCAAGACAAAATCTTGAAAAGTCACTGGACAGTTGTGGAGGAAATAGCAGTAGGATATGTGCTGGCGTGACTTGGTATATGCAAGCTTAATTGTGCAGAACTTTGCTGAGTGTATTCCTGCATAATTCAGGGGAAATGAGATGTAATCTTACACCGCAAAATGATACGTTTTTGCCACGCTGTTTGGTCTGAAACAATTTGTGGTGTATTCTGATGCCAAGTGGAAGTTGTCAATATACATATTCACTATCAGAGTATATTCTGAGGGCTGCTTTGGCAATTAGGCAAAGAGTAATGCAATTTCCACTCGTCATTAATAAAAACCACTTTGAATATCTTTGATCATATGATATTGTGAGGATTGCAGAATAATTCATGGAACAATCTGAAATTATCTGCAAGTTCTAATGATATTTAGTTGCATTTTACTTGCGCAGAGAATTTTTATAGATGACTGTCCCCAGATAGGTTTCAAATTTTTTTCAGAGGTTTTGTAATCAAATATTTACCAAGGTTTGTGGTTTGAGATATGGAACTACGATGTAAATGCGGTTAATATGTATCTATAAAAAAGATGTTCCGATATCAATTTGTCCTGTCTAGAATCGTCTTAAGATTTCAAATCTAGTTACTAGAGAAATTTTAACTCTATTAGGTGCTTTTAATCAAAATATTGAACTCTTCCCAATTGTATATACATTCAATACATTGTTGACATTTAAACACTTAGTGTAACTAGTCATATTCATTTTACACTTATTTAATATTTAATGCTAGCTGTTTCTCTGAAATACTTCAAAGGTGACTCCCCCTTTTGGCTAGTCTTGCATCTTTAACAAATACAGTTAAAACATGGTTGAGGGGGAAGACAAATAGACTGGAGGCGGTTTGGAATTGCATTCAAAATCAAATTAGGAGGCGTTTGGGGGCTTGCATGTTGTCCAGTAATGCATGCAGCATAACATGATTTGCAGGAGATGGTTTAAAGGGGATGGTCACACAATGCTAGACAGGATGAACAGTCGCAAACTATTTTAAGAGGCAATAGTCAGAAGTGAGCAAGTTTGGTAGCTTTTTGTAGTGAAACGCATGACAAATTGGGTCAAAAATGCACAAGGGTTAGTTTTTGGTGATGTCATTTTGTGGTTTGATTTATCTTGCCACCTGTTTACGGAGTATGTAATGTTTAATATTATTATTGTTATTACCATTATCATCATTATTAAGGCTGATAACATTTTTTTAAGGAATTGAACCGTAATATTTGAATGATAGCTATAAACAAAATTAACCCTTATACGTTCTGAACTGGGTTTTCTATGCCACTAAAATTGGTACCTTTTATATTTTAGAGTGTTAAAATGGGTACATATCTATTTGTTTGTATTATCAATTTTTTATTTATTTTTTGCAATTTAAACAACTGTAATCCCTTAACGAATCAGTATTACAATGATGTGTGAAGGAATGAAATTGAAAGGTTGATACACTTACTCTGTTTACAAGTCAAGAACCATACTCCCATTGCCAAATATACAAGTATAATTCTAAATGGCAGGTGCATTTTTACTTGGGTTGATCCATGATTGATTAAAAGCAGATTTGATTGTGTAATGACATTTCCATTTGTATTGCTGCCTTCTTTTTCTTTTCTTCATGGGTCAGTATCCTATTCCATTATATTGCAATTGAAAAACAGAATAAACTTGACAGGTACCACATTGTCTCCAATACTAGGCTTTCTACGCATTAGATTTCAAATCATTTTTTACTTAATTTTTACTCAGAGTGACAGAAAATTGGCTGAAAGCAAAGTGTTTTATTTAAAAATAATTGGGAGTAGATCCATCAACACATACAATGTTTACTAAATTGACTTTGCATGTATGTTACAGTGATTAAAACCATGACATTCAGACTTGTTTTGAAACTACCACTTTTTATGATTTGATACCATGAAAAGAAAACATACAAATGATACAAACAGAGATGTTTTGTCCAAAACTTGATGTGAATACAGGATATTTATGTATCAAAAAGAAAAAAGAAAAAATATGTTCAAGCGATACAAACAAAGAGATGTTTTGTCCAAAAGTTGATATTAGTATAGGATATTTAAGTCTAAAACCGTTTTGTAATTGCAAAAAATAATTTCCAAGCACAGGAATGGAATGGAATGGCATAGCAATGTAAAATGTAATTATTTGTGTTTCATAATATCCTGAGGAATTTCTTTCTTTTTAAATTCTAAAATCCTTATATCTGAGCAATTGGAATGTTAAGCTCCTACTAGAATTTCAAACAGTTTCTGTATTTTTTATTTCATTGCTTTCCTTTAACAGTTCCACCTGAATTTCTGGAAATGCCTACAAACACCTACGCCAGGTTGGGTTCTACCAAGACCCTCCCGTGTACTGTGTACGGTATTCCGACACCCTCCATCCAATGGAAGAGTCATGGGGATGATATTGACCTGCTGGCTAATGGTGATTTCATGAGTGTTGATAACCAGGGACTGACGATTCAAGACTTGACTGATCAGGACTCTGGTATTTACCAGTGCCTTGCCAGCAACCGTTGGGGCAACATTCAAGCTACGGCTCAACTGATTGTGCTTCCAGAAGGTAAGACAAAGACTGTTACCTCTTGAAGAACCCCTTGACTATATCTTGAATAATCATGGAAAAATTGTAAAAAATCTACTAGCAGAATCCTAGACAGCTCTTTTTTTTTTTACTACCAGATAAGTTGTCAAATACCTTGCAACTATCAACTTTATTTCTAATGCACTACAACAAAAGCAGCTTGATATCACAAGAAATTGGTTACTTTTAAAATTTCACACTTCCAATTATCCCTAATAGAGTGCTATGAATTTGTAAGGAGCAGCATTGGAACATTTCTCTCATCAGAATTTTCGTATATATTGTCCAAAAGTATATATCTTACTTTTTAATAATTGTCTCCTATGAATTGAGAGAAAAAGTTGAGTATTAATTTTGTAATGGGATATAATGTTCTGCCAATGGTTACCAAATCAAATAAGTAACCCTCCTTGACTCTTGTAGACCAGATTTATGAAACACATGTTACATCAATACTACCAAGTCAGATACAATTCCATACAATCACATTGACATGTTTGTGTCACATATACAGTCTTAATTTCATTCTAGCCACAAAATCATTAAATAAGAGTGAAAACTGCCTCCATGACATTCGCGCCATTAACATCACTTTGTCTTCTCTTTCATGATAGTTAAACCAAAAGCGAGAAAAACAAGTATTTTTCCTGTAAAACAAAATATTACCTAGCGCAGGTGCAAGAGGTCCTGCCTTACCTCCGTAATGTACTCTGATACAATAATATAAGGTATTCATGCCATGAAAAGTATTGCCATCGATCTAGAAAAATTCAATACGATTATTATTGATTGCTCTTAGGTTATGCAGTTTCATTGCTTTTGACAAAACAGCAAATATTAGACCAAGACTTTGTTTTTATCTTGCCAATGTTTTACATTGATTTTGAAGTCAATAATGGAATTTGTGATGAAGAGTTTGATATCACTAAGACAGGGTTGACGTCAGAAAGTTCTGAAAGCAAAGAAGGAGAATACCCTCTGGAGACTCTTTTATTAAACAATCTACGAAAACAGGGTCAGAACATCTAACTGACAAGAATGTTAAGTAACAGTTTTGATTTGATAAAAGCTACTCTGCGCACACACTTTCTTCATTCCCACTTTTTAGTAAAACCTTATGTAAACATCAGGCCAAAGAATAACGAGCATACATGTAAGACGAAAGTTGAACAAAGTTAAGTATAAAGATATCCATGGGAGTTTCAGTATATAGGAAGTGACGCAAATAGCCTCATAATATTTTGCTGTCAGATTGCATACGCATGCATTAAGATGCTGTTTTAATGGATATAAAATCATGTGTGACAGAGAGACGAACCTAGCTGTAAGGCTTGACACAATGATCAACCATCAGCTAATGAGATAACAGCTCCTGCTTGCTTTAAAAGTGATGAGGAGCGTAAGAAAACTAGGTCAAATAAATCAGTTTGGAGAGTGAGAACGGGAGGAGCACTGCTGGTGCTGTCATTGAGTGAGCTTGGACTGATTTATTGTGAAATGTAGCAAGCCTACGTATCATTGGATAATGGGGGATATTAGCCGATGGAAGTCTTATCATTTGTTGGGTCAGGTAGTTGCCATGTGTTTTCTCTTGAATCTGTAGAAGTCTGGATGTTTTTCTATTTGTATCCATTCCTGGAGTTCAGCTGTGGTGTTGTGTCTGTAAACAGTGAGTGTGGATGTATATTATGCAGCCAGTATAGTGCATTTCCATCCACTCTGTAATTTCTTTTTGAAGTTATTCATTTAAATTGTCACATATATTCTTTTCATATTGCTTTATTAAAGCTTAAAAAGCAGTGTTCAAATTGTTAAACACTGAATATTTGGGAAATTCCCAAATACAGGATTCTTATGAACGCTTTTTACTATTTCAAATAAAAGTCATACACCTGCAAATGATGAATTGGAGAAAGAAATCGCACACCATTTTGAAAGAGAATTTTGTTACCTTATATGATCATAATAAAACTATGAATGGAATACACTGTTACTGATCAAACTTTCCCAATAAATACATCAGCCCTGTATTTCACCAACCTTTCAAATGTCTTTCACGAGAGCTCTCTTTGGGAAACTCTGCTGCTGCGGACCAGTGTCGTCTTACCGTGCATTATTCATGGATTGGGCACAGAAACTGGGGAGAATCATTGCTAATTCAGCACTCACACGCGTGACTAAAAATTCATGCAGAACCAGGACATGGGGATTAATTCAATCATACTCCAGCCCTGGACTCTCTCCTAAATATGCAGCTTGTGTTTCTGATATGCTGTTTATGTCTTGAACCAAGGCAGGGACGGTGCCAATTTGCAACCGGAGAGACAAAATGGGATCGTGTTGAGATCTTTTATTCATTATTTCCACATACAAATTCATCTCCCGCAAACAAATTGTGTCTCTGTCTGGGAATGAGAGGTAAAAAACAAACAAATTATTCAATGAAATGCTGGAGACAGGGTCATGTGCCTTTCAGCAATATTTGTCCATTCCTTAAAAACAACCCCGAAAAAAAATCAATTGCAGTTGCCTGTGGTTAGAAAAAGAGTTTGAATGAAAGAAAATGTTAGAATGTACATTGAATAACTACTAAATCAATGTACTAAACAGCCCCAAGAAAACATCTTGATATTAAACAATATCTGGTGATTGTCTTTATGTTATATGGAAAAGGCCTTAACATGATATACCTTCATTTTCAAGTCTTATTTGATGAATATGAATGAAATAATCGTTTACATGATGCAGTTGGTGAAATTGTATTAGTGGTTCTGGGATGATTGTGTTTCAATATCTACTTTAGATAGCTTGCACTAGTGAATGAAAATTTGTTAGATATTATACGAACCTTGATTAGTTTTAATAATTTGTATACATCTATTTCCAATAGATGTCAAACTAAATAGTTTTATATATTAACTCAATAAACATTTTGATACTAATATTCTGTTTATGAGTAGCACACATAGCATTGTCATGTGCTTTCAAAATACTCTAGTGTTATTTAGCTTAGTCAGTTGCTATCATCACACATTGTAATGTCAAATATATCCTACCAAGTCTGATTTAACTCATGAGCAAAGAGAGTCTACTTTATACATAATACTATTATCTGGCTCATTCAAGGACACAAAATGCTTTCATGGTTTATTGTGCGACAACAAACCATATTAAAGACAGACAAGATTCTTCAGGAAATATAAAAATCTTATCAGACCTTAATCTTCAGATATATTCAGATATATTATTGAATTCAGCCTAAATCTTTATATTTCACATAATACTTTGAAATGTAATCCAGGAAGAATAACATTAAAAAAAATTGTAGTCAAACTTTGAGAAAAAAGTTTAATAATGAAAGGACAAAGAAGTATAATCTTGTAGTTATAACCTATCAGTGTACCAATTTAGACAATGCATGGGTTGGAATGTGTTTGGTAGATCTAGCTGTGAAAGGTCATTACATAAAAATACATATTTGTTGAGATATGCATCTGCTTGGGGTGTGCCCTTCTGAAAACACACAAGAAAATACATTTAATATCTTCTTGCATGTATGGGAATCAAAATAAGTATAATCCTTTGAGTGGTGTTTTATATTGTCTCTCAGGGTTTGTATCACTTTGTCTTCTTTGCATTATCTTACTGCCTTTGCATTCTTTAAGTAGGATTCAAACCGATCCCAATCTTTGGAAAGCAGCTAGGCTTGAGATGGTAAGATTACCAAGGGTTATTTTGAGTAAACGTGGAAGAGGAAAAACGGCGAGGGCTGTCACCTGCATCAATCCTAAAAAACCGCACTCTTCTCCCGTCCCCATGAATAATGCAGAAAGACCGCTCTCTCATCCATTATTCACCTAACATCGTGTTTCTCTTTTGTAACGCTATTTTTTTCCCTTACCTTTTTCCCCTCACCTTTTCCCCCTCACCTGAACCATTATCATCATTGTTGCCATGGAAACAGAATATCTTTAGGGAGAAATTAACTTGATAGCATCATATGCAGGGCTTGTCAAAAGTATGTGTGTTACATTCTCACGGGAGGATGTTGGTGTGACAGCATAGAAAGTGAGTTATAATAACAGAGCCTCATACACTACACACTCAGCAGGTATAGACAAATATAGTTGTGATTTCAAGTGCATTTTGAAGGACGAAAATGAATGTTGAGGAATTTCTTGATTTGCTCTTGATTCTGGCGTTAAATGTAATGTGGAACATCTGAAGGAAGATGTTTTGTTCTAAAGTTCCTTTCTATAAACTTTATTCTAATCTCATATATATTCACACAATTGTGATGCATCTACTATATCTTTGTCGCAGATTCACCCTCAAGTTATCAAGTTTACATTTCTTAGAAGATCAAAATATAACCTGTGTGCATTTAAATGTGTACATGTAGCATTTAAAAGTATTTTTCCCCATCAACATATACCGGTAGGTTTTGAAAACATCCATAGTCCGTATCATTACATGAGAGTGGCTCCAAATGTCCTCAAAATGTTTGCTTGCCCCAGAAAAATTGTATTTAGATTTCATAATTTTTCATAAACTGGAGTTTTATTGATATGGCTGCATACATAATTCAATAATATCTTGAGCAAAGACGTAACATATTACACTCCAATTTCATTTGCTCCGATGAAACTCCTTGCCTATTTTCTTTACATTTTGTAGTGAGCATTTATTTGAAATGGGTTAATTTTCTCTTCTTTTATTAGATTTCTGTGAGGGAGAGTGAAGTAACTATTTTTTATCAAGTAATTGGAGACAAGAAATATATGGATACGAGTCTTTCAGAAGGGAAATAGTTTTCAGGTTCATCTTTTGCTTGGTTTAAATTGTGACCAATACCTTCTTAGCATGTACAGACAATAAATGAGGATTTCATCATACAAAGAATATTAGGAAGATCTAGGAATAATCCAGTCCTCCTTCTAGTGTCTCTTTGTAGAATTACTTTGAATTCTTTGTACAAC